CCCCCTTGCAGCAAGCCTGCATCCTCTCTCCCCACCCCCAAGCACCCTCCCTTTGCCCACTTCATCCAAAAACCATGTGTGGCGTGTCATTTCAACTCCCTCCACACTGAAGAAGGGCCCCTAACAAAACAAAACAATTATCTCTCTCCTCATTAGGACCTGGCTTGCATCCCCTCTCCCTCTCTAACTCCCCTCTGTCTCCTGCTGGACCCGGCCTTCGCTCCTTCCCCCTTCTTCGTAGTCGCCTGTGTGACAATAAGTTGAGCTGAGGGTCTCTTAAGTGCTCCTTGAGTGGAGCGTTTAGCTGATTCTAGGCTTCATGTTTCTTTTAAAGGCCTTCTGCGGGAACAGATAGTTGTGGCATAACGAAAAAAGGGTGAGGTGCCCATGAGAGAAAAAAATTACAGGGAGGGCAGGAGAGCAGAAGTAGCGCAAACGCATGTAGTGGTATGAGGAGGTGGGCGCCGATGTGCGCGGGTGAAGAGGAAGGGGAATGGATGGATTGGCAGTGGGAGGTTGAGCAGGTTTCACCATGCCAGCTCTTAATTACTTTAATTGGAGTCATTAGCTAAGTGAGCATGAGAGACATCACCTGCATGGCATGCAGGACCGCACCTGCCACAGCGACGTTACTATCATCATCACACTCCAACAGAGGGTTTACTGACAGGTCGACACTCAGCCACGCTAATGTTGCCACAGTGAATGCTGAAAGTACAGTCATACAAACAAACAAACAAACAAACAAACACAAAGACGCATGAATGTCACCATGTGTACAGTTGCAGTGGTCACTAGGTCAAATATCCGTGTTCCAGGCTACTTGATTTTAGAGAGAAGACATGAAATGTGACACATTTACAAGTTGTTCCTTTGGTAGCATCAGGTGATATGAGTATAAAACACCAAAGTGATGTAACACTAAACAGTTCTTGGTTATAGGATTGGAACTGTATCGGGAAGGAATCTTAGAGCCTTGTCAAAGAAGAATTTCTGTCACTATTTGGGACAGACAATAAAGTCTATCTATCTATCTATCTATCTATCTATCTATCTATCTATCTATCTATCTATCTATCTATCTATCTATCTATCTATCTATCTATCTATCTATCTCGCTGTCATTCTCTCACAACAACATGCTCAGATTTAAAAAAAAAAAAAAGAAAAAAAAGAAAGAAAAAACAATGAAAAAATGTCTCTGAAGACAAATAGTTTGCGTTGTTGCCATTTAAAGTTTTAAGTAAAATTACCTAGTCAAGTTCTGTCCCATCTGCACACTAAGTCAAGTCTTAATTAAATCAATATGTGGCCTAACCTCTTAAAATAAAGAAAACAACCTTCATTGTCTGTACATACTGATTTAGAGAAATTCATTTTGGCTGTGGTTTGTCTGCTCGTGTCTGCTCGTGTCAGATCAGTGAGAGAAAGATGCAAAGGGTACGCACGCATTTGCTTATTTCATTCTAAACATCAGTTATGTTACTTTAACCCATTATAGCAGTACCACACAATAAAGCCGCAGTTGGATGGCATGCAACGACGAACTTGGGATAGGGCTACACCTATCTTTCTTCTTCTCGGCACCCAACAGACAGCCTGGCAGGCGGGCTGGCAGCCAGGCAGAATGGCAGTAGGCTGGCAGGCTTAGCCCGGGGCACCATCTACAGCAGAGCCAACCCTGACCAGCTGGTCCAGACTAACACCACGGAGCAAGCATGTACCACCATATCAGAGGGGAGGTAGATGTTAGCCGTGGAACAGACACCCTCTCACCTAGAGCCCTGACACATACAGCAGTGTACCTGCACTGGTGGGATTTAGGTGAGAACGCTCCATCTCGTCTATGACTTAACAGGTCATCTTGCGATTCATTCCCTCCTTCTGGCGTACCCTGTCACCATCCAGATTTATTTACAGAGAGTGCATGATGGACCCCTGTTCACCCTCACTTGATGATGCCAGATCTAGGAGCCTGATCCGCAGTCCAGTCTGGTCCAAACTACCATGATGGTTTAGCTCCAGCAGAGCCCCAAGCGGCTGACGAAAATCTGGTGGACCTTCCCCTTCCAGCACCATTCAGCTGGTTAGTTAGCTTAGCACTGTTTGGACTGCTTAGCCATAGCTATAAACACAGATGAACACACAGGAAATCAGTGGTAGGAGGCATCGAAATGATTTGCCGTGGTAATACTTATATATGAGGGACAAAGAACCACAGTAACTACATCTACCTACGGATGCAGAAGAACATTTTTTAAGGGCAAAAATATGCCTCAAATCTTTCATCTGCAACTCTGCTTGATACACCTTGATTGAAGTGATATTGTTGGAGTGCCCCACTGCACATACCTCCCAACCATTTCCATGTCTGACAGTTAAAAGGCCTACACACAGAGAGAGAAAGAGCAGGCAGCTCATTGTGCGTTTTAAAGCGCTAACTAGGCCACTTAGCACCCCATGACGCTGATCTGATCCCCGAGGCGCTGAACTTGGCAGCGGGCCCTCCTCCTTTCGCTCCTTCCTTTCCCCTCGCCATGGGAACCAGGCCATCCTTAATGACACAGGAGTGCTCCACCGGATCCCACAATGCAAAGGGGGCTGACATCTGTCTTGCTAAGTGGTGCACTCTCTTGTGCACCTTGTTTGTTCAATCAACAACCGCCCTCCTCCACCTCCTCCTCCTCCTCCCGTCACTATGCCCATTTTCTTTTTTTAAATCTCACTTTTTGTAGATTGTTTTTATGTTTTACTTTTCAAAAAACACTGGCAGGAGAGTGTTTAGAAAGACAATAGTGAAATCATGACCCTCCCTTCACCAACATCATCACACACTCGACAGTTCAGCGGGTAGATAATCACAGATAGCAAGTGTGCCATTGCATAATGACAAAGAGGGATGCACAGGTTTAGTTCTACATTACTCAGATTCTGATGTTTTGCAAACAGCCTTATTAACTGTGAGCAGTGAGAGCGAAAGATGCAGAATTTGATCACTGCTGGATGAGTCTCCCAACCTCCCCACTTTCTGCATATTTAGAAAAAAAAAACAAGTGCCTGATTAAGCAGCTCCTAATTCTTCACCGCTAAGATCTGGGCAAATATTTGTCCCATCAATCTTGGAAAATATAGCCATCAGCCCAAGATGTTAATCAAATGCTAATAGAATCCAAAGGACTCAATGCACCCCCGTAGCGCAGTGAACGCTTTCAGTTTTTCAGAAGGCCCACGTGAATGCAAATGGCCATCTAAGCAGTCATTTTGACAGCATGCCAAGGCAACGTAAAGAGCCCCCTTCTTTATGCTCCTCTGGGAATGTATGTAGGGATGTGTGGGATGAGTTCACTTTACCAGGCCCAGGTGCCAGGATATAAATGAATAATAGGTTTTATGGGCCCTAACCGAAAAAAAACACATACACACATAATCACACATGCCCTCTTGCTCAAGTGCATCTGCGGTGAATGATGTTCAAATTCCCACAACTACCCTGAAAAGAGACTGGGCATGAGAATAGGTGGTTCCTATACATAATTCAGGGGTCCATGCTGAAACAATTATGTTTGCTTACCGCTAAGTACCCGTGCTCAACAGCTCGTTTGCTCTCCAGTTTGGTGCTTTCAGATGTAAGTGCCATGTGCTAAAAGTCGGTGGAACGCGGCTTTTTAATAAAATATAGGAGCTGACACTTGAATGCTTGAATACAAGAGTGGGTGGAAAAAAACAAAAAAACCCCAAAAACAACAAATGCTCTTCATGATTTTGCTTGAGCTTTCCATGCAAACTAAATTGCACTTGTAAATTTAACAGTGTTGGCAGAAAACTAATTAGCAATTCTGGGCAAAGGGGAGTGTGCGCAAAGAGGACAATTTAATGACAACATTACAGATCACAATATTTCAGTTTACTTTTGAACGTAAGTCCAGTGTGGACGGCTTCATCTGCTGCAACAGAAAATTGCATGACCAAAATACAGGTCAGTTTGTCAACGAATCGATGGTGGAATAAGCCACCAGAATATCTTACTCTGAATAACACATTCAGACTCTAGGAAAAATACAGATACATAAACAGTTACATGCACATATTGGTTGCAATTGCCAGAATAATTAATACACAATTTATAAAAAATAAAGGGCATATTTTGTCAGTGATTTAAGATGATCTTAAGATGAAAAAAATGCATCTGCACTTTCATTTACATATTTTAACTGTAACAAACAGCTGTCTTCAGGGAAAAAAATACATCATGTGGTCTTGTCATTGAACACAGTTACAGGTGTGTGTTAGCTGCAACCTCAGCACTCCTTTTGTCACGGCTCATCTCACACTTGCAGTCCTCCACCACCATCAGTCTCCTCTCCCGGAGCTCAGCTCCACAGCGCAGAGGCACACTGACGGTGTGAGCTTTGAATGGGGCGCAGCGGGAGCAGGGGGCCCGGCGCTGCAAGGCCTCCGTACCAGGACTCAGGACGGCAAACTCCCCTTCAGAGGGGACAAAGAGGGAGCTGCACTGGCCGAAACACAGCTTGTTGTGCACTGTTACTGTTTCGCATCCATCTGCTGTCACATGCTGTGAGGATAACAGAGAGGGTGAAGATTAGGATAAACACAGCAGCGGTAGCAATCAGTGTTACTTTACCTCTGAGAGTGTAAAAAAAACCCAAAACACAACATTCTGTGTTTATGTAAGTCCATATCATCACAGCTAATTCATCACCAGGGCCACAGTCAGCTTTATGAGTAAACAGACGTCTCTCTAATTGTTAGTGAAAAATTAACACTTACTAAGAATCGGAATTGTGCAATATTCTGTTTAGCTGTTTGAGAAATCCTTCACCTTGATGCTCATTTTATTGTGTGCACAGAGAGGAAAGAAAATTAAATTCAGTCAGAAGACACATCAGAATCTTACCTGAGTGAATGGTACTGCAGTGCAAGCCTGTTTGGTGTCCTTCAGGTTGATGGGCAGCGCTATCTTCCCTCCTTTATCTAAGGCTCTCTGCCACATCTGCAATCCCTGCTTCTTTAGCTCCATCTCAGGAGGGTTTTTTGGGCGCAGGTTGTGCAGTGGACTCACAGGGGCATTGAGGGCTGGACCTGGACGCCCATGAGACAGGAAGGCAGGGAAAGGCACTTTGGAGCTGTGGGCTCTTCTAAGGGTCAGTCCACTTCTGAGGAAGCGTGACTGGGCCAGGACACGAGGATCCATCCGCACAACTTTCACTATTCCCCGGACGGGTTCATCTGGTCCACTGCCAGATGACTCAAATTCAACTTTTGACGCCTTCGCAAAGGTATTATAAGGAAACGTAACAGCTACAGCTGTCCAGCTCGATAAAAAGATTAATCCAATGAGGTAAGACATACTCAGATTTTTTTTTTTTAAAAAGATAATTCTCAGAAATTACTAGAGAACCTGAATAATGTAATTTTTTTTTTTTTAATGACAAAACAACTCAAGATTTAAAAGCATTTTTTTTTTTTTTTTTTTGCTAATTAGCACAACTGGAATTTTAAAAATGTATAAAATCTCTTCTCTGGTGGTTTGAGGTCCAAGGTTCCAAATGGCAACCTTGCTGTCAGTGCTTTGTCGGTGAGGTGGACAGAGCCTTTTTATGTAGGTAGCTGCCAGTTCTCACTAGTGTTTTAGTGCAAAGAAGGTGTCACATTTCCCACAACCGACCAGACATCACACCAAGCTTTAAAGTCCAGGTCGTGGATGGATGTCAGACAAAGGATTCCACTTTCAAGGTAAATGTTAAAAACGTGGCCATAAAAACATTACATCCGAAAGGCTGAGTTTCATCTCTGAGGTTCTAAATACTGAAATCTGGGCTGACATAAATCATGTTTGAGCTTTAGCTTTAGGTAATTACAATGCTTTTAATTAAAAACATCAGTATGTAAAGAATTGTAATCAACAGTCAGGTGAAAAAATCTATAGGAATAAACCACAAAAACACAGACAACAAGCAATTGCAAATTGTTTTAGTACCAGTATAAATAGGTAGAATAGGCCCAAAACACAAAGGAAGTGACTTAGTTAGAATAAAATGCATATTACCGAAGATATTAAAATCTGTAGCTACTGACTAAAAAGCAATAGAAAAAAAAGAGCATAGTTGGGAAATATTTGCTGCCCAGAACCATATGTGTCCCATCCCACAGTTACAGGAAAACTGCTGTCATTTCAGGCGCTATCTCATCATCAGGTGTTCCTATAACATCTGACTGTAAAGGAATAATGAGTTTATGTCCCCTGCACAAACACGTTGTCTCCTGTCCATTTATTCCCACAAGCAGCGTCTCAGCCTCTCCCTTGATGTGCCATCATTGCACCATTAGACCTCATTGTGCTCCGTCACCCGTGACCTGATCACACACCGACTGTTTGAGGCAGACTGGCTAACAGCATCGTAATAGAGCCAGTGTTTGACTTTCTCATATACGGACCTCGGTGTTAAAAAGCACTTTTCCCCTTCCTGGTCTCCGCTCTGCGTCTGTTTCCCAGAGCCATAACATTGCAGATACAACAATAAGAGAAGTAGATGATCTGAGGACTTTCACCTTTTGCTGATTTTATTACAACGGCTGGTCTGATCTGTATAGCACTAATTTTATTGAGTAAGATTTCGTAACATCTATATATGTGAATGTGTTCAGCATAATTGTGTGATCATCTGCTTCTCTAGCTGCAGATTAAAAGTTTTCCACAAGAGGGCACAGTTTACATACAATCATCTCTTTCCATCCCGCTACTCCTCAGCTGTTTAAGCAGACCTGCAGTGACCGACTATGCATGACATTTAAAAACTATTATATACATTTTTGTAGTATATCTCCCGACTCCTCTCACACAACCAAAGGGCAAGTTGGATGTTACGAAAACCTGTATTGAAAAGTTTTAATAATAAATCATTGTGCAAAGACACATGGGAATATTTGGATAAACCAATGGCTTAAACACAGATCCGGTAGCTATATTCTGAATCCTATTTTTTGAGAGAAAAACTTGCCTTTGGAACAGTTTAGTTAGTTTTGTGATAAACTGAAACTGACTGTGTCACAAGTCCTCTCTATTATTGACTTCATATTGCACAACCTTCCGCTTCTGGCCCTGATAGAATTACAGTCAATAAAAACCATGTGAAAGGAGCAACAGTATAAATTGTGACTACACAGGCTGAATCCTGTGAGGAAAATGCAACACAAATATGGAACTTTCTGAAGGCCAGACTGAACCTGTGCTTGAGTTCACAAAGGATTTAGTGGAATCTGTATCTGTCCTTGTGTCATATCTATAATTAAGTAGAACAGAGATAACTATCGAGGGCAGTGACTCACTATCTTGCATGTAGGAAAACAACTGCACCTATTTTTTCCGGTAATCCATCCATGATAGTACTGCATCTTGAGCTTTAGGTTGTTTTTTAAATTTTTTTTTTGATTGTGTGTCAACAGGACAAGGCCTGATCACCTGACATGATAAATACAACATAGTCACATGATGTTGTATTTGTCAAGTTCACAGGTTGAGGAGAATACCAAAACTCTTCATTGTACTCGTCTGTGTAGTGGTTCATTGGACATTGTTCCTCTAATGTCAAATGTTGCATTTAACTGCAGCTCGAGCTGTTTTATGGTGACTGTAAGAGAGAGAATATTTTCAGATTATGACGCCACAGAAGAGATCAGGTAACTGCGGCACAGCATGTGATTGGAGAACCTGCTGCTTCAGCAGCCAGCAACATATTAAACTTCTCTAACTAGACACACACACACACACACACACACACACACACACACACACACACACACACACACACACACACACACGCACACACAGAGTATAATTTAATCAACCTCTGTCTAATGTAGACTGAAATGAATCAGAAGAAATTAACTTGTTGAAATATCATTTACTCACACTGCATAAAGCAAATTAAAGTGGATCTGACCATATGGCTGCACCATACGGATCACATATACCTTAAAGCTGTCACATGTCTGTTCACTGATATTTTTTAATGTTGAGGTCCAACCTCAGAAACTTTCCAGGCAAATGAGGACGTGAACTGAAAATAGCACTGAATTAAACTTTGAACTCTGTGAGAGATTTGAAATCAGAAATGTTTTTTATTTGTTCCATAAATTAGTGCCTTATCTTTTGAGAATGTTTAGCTAGATCCTATTTTTTTAAAAAGCTACTGATACGCTATAGAGTCAGTAGGGTGGGATTGCAAACAAAATATTTACATTTCTACTTTGTTTGTTTAAAACCCTGCATTAACTGATTTTTGGACGCTTACAAGAAGCAGATAGAAGCCATAAACATGGCAAATGACCCCACATACTACAGATAGCAGGATATGTTTCCATGGCGTTGGTTCATATCACCGACAGGTTCTAATACTGTGGGTTTGACACTGATTAACAATAAGGGCTGCCAGTCAGTCACGTCTGACAAATAAGAAAACGGGAACTAAGTATTTAAATCGTCAAACTACACAAAAGTAAGCAAGTAACCAGACAGACAGTAAACTAATTCAGGTGCAAAAACAACACAGCAACTTGTAACTTTAAAGCACCCACAGGAGCCGGGATCCTCACTTATTCTCGAGAGGAACTACTGGCTCTAAAGCCGATGGCACAGGTTGGAATCCGACATGACATCCTGGCTGAGCTGACAAGGTGTTACCGGGGCAGCAAGGCTGGCGCTAGGCTGAAGGCTAGGCTAACAGACCGGAGGCGTTTCAAACCATCAATCTCGACGGTAATTATGGGAAACGTAAACGCCTTGCAGAACAAGATGGACGAGCTGTCAGTGCTGATCAACCAGCGTATCTACCGGGAATGCAGCTTGTTCACCCTCTCGGAATCGTGGCTAATCCAGCAACACCAGATGCTAACGTGGACCTGTCGGGTTTCGCTACAGTGAAAGCAGAGGTGGGGGTCTCATCATGTATGTTAACAACCGCTGGTGTAACCCAAGTCATGTTTCTGTCAAGGTGGTTCTGTGTTGTCGGGATTTAGAACTGTTAGCCGTTAGCCTGCGGCCATATTACTTGCCTCGAGAGTTCAGTCATGTGATCGCGATGTGTGTTTACGTCCCCCCGAGTGCTGATGCAGCCGCTGCCTGTGAGAAAATTCAAACAGTCACAGCAAGGCTGCAGACCCAACATCCAGAGGGACTCATCATCATCTCTGGGGACTTTAATCACGCCACACTGAACTCTGCCTTGCCTGCTTTCCACCAGTTTGTGGAAACTGCCCCACCGGAAACAACCAGACAATTGACCTCCTGAATGCTAATGTACGGGATGCAAACAGAGCCACCCCCTGCCCCCACTTGGGAAGTCAGACCACAGCCTAGTCCTACTACAGCCTCAGTACACCCCTCTGGTCAAAACACAGCCGGCCACAACACGCACCATCAGGAGGTGGTCTCCTGAGGTGGAGGAGGCCCTGAGGGACTGTATGGAAACCACCTCTTGGGATGTTCTGTTTTCCCCCCATGGCGAGGACACTGAGGGGCTGACCCACTGCCTGACTGACTACCTGAACTTCTGTGTAGATGTAGTCTCTCCTGCTAAGACTGTTGTTACCCGAACAACAAATCCTGGGTGACGCAGGAGGTCAAAGCTGCACTCAACAGGAAGAAGGTGGCCTTCAGGAACAAAGACAGGGAGGCAATCAGATCAGCACAGAGGGAGGTGAATACCATCACGGGCTTCAGAATAAAAGCCAGAACAGCAGGGGGGATGGTGCAGGAGGCAAACAATCTGAATGCCTTCTTCAACCGGTTTGACCCCCCCCTCCCCCCC